GTGTATATGTATATATATGTATATATAGGCCTATATATATATAAATTAACACTGTTAAATTATAAATGAATCATTAAAGAAAGGTAAATACTGTACAGTGTTCGATTAAAGGACATAATACATCGTGTAGCATAGCTCTCAACGAATGTTGTCCTATATAATTTAATGAATAAATAAATTGTTTAATAAAATTCCTCCGACGGGGTTCGGACCTGCGACCTCTCGCTGTCAAGGCGAGCCTCATAGCCATTAGACCTCAGAGGCTTCATAGTTAAATAGATTCAAATGACCGTAAGATACACTCTATTACACAATAGGTACAGCTGGAAACAAATAGTAGCATATTATAATATAAATCAAGATAGCCCTTAACACTGTATTATTATATATAAATCATCAAAGAAAGGTAAATACAGTGTTTCAATAAAGGACATGACAATACATCGTGTAGCACAGCTCTCAACAAATGTTGTCCTATAAATAAATAAAATATTTATTTATAGGACAACATTTGTTGAGAGCTATGTCACACGATGTATTTTCATGTACGACGACATTCGTTGAGAGCTGGTCGATGATTATCATGTAGGACAGCATTCGTTGAGAGCTATGCTACACGACGTATTATTCATGTCCTTAATAAGCGTTGACAAAGACTATGGAGTAGCCGAAATATTCGCCAAATAAATTTTAGTGTTTATAAAGTCAACATCGTACGATATTTGAGTTTCATTATCGTTACGCTGGCGGCCGCTATATTATATTCTAGGTGTGGGTGTGTGGGTATGTGTGTGTTCTTATACACGGGGGGGGGGGTGTGTGTGTGCGTGTGGGTGGGTGTGTGTGTGTGTGTGTGTTTCGAAACATATAATATTATATTACTGCGTAACGGGAATGAAAATTCAGATGCGTAGAGTGTTGACTTTACACCGAATTTCGAATAATCTGCTTGACCAGAAGTAGTCGAAATATTCGTGGGGTACGTCAGGTCTGTGCAAATTAATACAAATTTCTGAAATTACCATGAAATATAATTATTCTTTTGAAAGGGCTGTTGAAAAATCCTAAAAATGCAAATATTTCAAACATTCTTTTTTATTTGCTTGGTAGTCAATTCCACAGGCTAGGTAGTGAATATTTCTCTTTTCGTGCATTAGGTCCTTTAATATAACATTGTAAATTCGTCACGAAATTGTCATGAATTCAACGTAACTGTGTCTTAGTAGCTCTCTATAACTAGTATATTATGATATTCGCCGCAATCTCCTTATTTCATAATTACTATTTTCTTCTGTCATTATGAGTTTCCGTACTTGACTAGGGATTTCCAGTTCATTAGACATTTCAGAAGCTCAGCTGCGTCTTCATGTCAAATTCTTAATGTTATACTGTAGGCCTACAGTCTGTAATAAATTATGCAGCTATTATTATTGTTATTATTATTAATATTAATATTATTATTATTATTATCATTACTGTTATTATTATTATTATTATTATTATTATTATCATTGTTATTATTATTATTATTATTATTATTATTATTATTATTATTATTATTATTATTATTATTATTATTATTATATTACTCACCCTATGAATCCGTCCATAAACATTATAGTTGTTTCATTTTTTTCCTTTTTAGTATGCGCCAACAAACCGCCTTAGAGAGAACATAAGCTGTCCAGGCCATTATTATCACAGCTCCCAAATCTTGAATATGATACAAATATTAAGCGACATTTTCGCTCTTGAGTATAAAGACAAATTAACTTGTAAGGAAATATGGTAAATATTGCCTGCCGTAATCTAAAATGCATATTATTTGTATTATATCCTATTGCATAAATATTTATTGAACATCATTATAATGTCTTCGAATAATTTCATTATGATTTTTTTGTTAATAATATTCCTAAAATAAAAACATGTCTAGTACCCAGATTTTCGGCCTGTAAAAGATCCATTTGACAGTGGAACGAAACGTAGCAGTACAATATACTTGCTTGGTTTTATTCTAGGAATATTACTATTAATGGTACCAATCATAATAAGGGTACTTTGAAGAAAATGTAAAAAAAAAAGGTTTGTTTGTAATAATTTTTTCCGTATGTTTCTTAAATTGCCACTGCAAAACATCAGGCTTAATTTATTAATGTTTGCCTGTAGTGGATTATTATTTCTCTCTTTTGGATTATCCGTATATACCATACTGTGTTATAAATCTCTATGAATCGACGTCACACCTCATAGTTCGATTATTGTTTTGTGTTAAGAATTATATATAAACTTAGCAACAGCAAAGATATTCTCAAGAATGTGTTATTATTTTTAAGTTAGCTATCCGTGCTTCTTCTCTTTTTATATCTAAAGTTTTATTTGTTTTTTTTTTTTTTTTTTTTTATATAAAGTTTTTTTTGTTTTTTTTTTTTTTTTTTTTTTGTATTGAATTATATATTTTAGCATATAGTTTTATATAATAATAATATATGCACTATTTAATTGTTTATCAGTGTGTTATGAATAATGTATTGACTTAGCAACAGGGAATATATTGTCGGAGATGTGCTATTATTTTTAAGTTCTATATAGCTTCTTCAATCTAGCGTATTAACATATTATATTTTATCATGTAAATGTACTATATACTTGTTTTTTTTTATTTTACTTTATGATTATGCTCTTTGTATTTGTATAACAACTTTTTTTTTTTTACAACGGTGAAAATCCAATAAAATGTCTTACTCGTGCATTAAAGTTTGTCCTGACTATGACGTTGTTTCGACAAAATCTGTTAAATGCCCATATATGGTCATGATGTGAATAATAAAATACTATGAAATGAAGTCTCTTTTGGATTTGTGCAAGTTTACTTCTAAAAGTAAAACAAGAATTTAAAAAAGAGGCAGCATGCAAAGGTGTGAGAGAGATGTAAACGCGTTTTCCGATAAAAAAATTAGATTAGATTAAAAAACGTCCACGTGGCAGTTTCCTTTGAATATTTACTATTTTTTCGCAAATAGGTCTAATCATAATAAGAAATTACCGTAGTTAATAATAACAATTAGGCAGAATCCTATAATTTGGATTCGATGGACATACAGGAACATGTGTTGAGGAAACCATGTTCAAATGGCCTTGTATCAGACTATCTGCGTCCTGTAACCAAAAAAAAATATATATATATGTTTTTAAGAATACAAATCTCATCCACTCTTTGTCATTCAATAGAGGATACGGTATTAGTTAAAAAGGTCATTTAATGGTTGTTGGAGTAAAATATAGGCTTATGGGATAAACGTTTAATAAGCATATTATGTCTTGCTGTCTACGTGAGGTTCAAACACTGAACTTATTACCTTTAAAAAAAACTATAGTAAGTGACCTGAATTCAGTGAAAATAGTTATGTATCTAAAGAATACGTATTTTAGACGACATATTCTTCTTCTTTACCTTAGAAGACATTATGTCTAGCTGTCTACGTGAGGTTTAGACCATAAAATTATTACGTATTATTATCAAAGAATATAGTAGCATAACCTGGGTTAACTTAAATAGTAATGTATGTATCTAAAAGGGTACGTATTTATAACGACCTATTCTTCGGATTTTCTACCTTACAAACTTAATTCTCTCTTTTAGACTAGCTCTAACAAACACAGACGAATTTTAAACGTCATTTCTTCTTCGGAGTTTTTATCTTGGTGAACTTATTTCTCTCTTTCAGACTAGCTCTAACAAACACAGACCTGTATATCTCTGATTAACGCATACATATGTTTTGCTGTCTACGTGCGGTTCAGACCGTGAACTTATGATCCAAAGGAAAAAACTTTACATGCGACCTGGATTCAGTGACCATATGGTATCTAAATAAGAAATAATATGTAATTCAGCTTGGTGAACGTCTTTTTTTTGTATATTCCCTCTTTCAGACTACATGCTCCAACCAAAACAAATGCGTTATAATTAATCCTGTCCTTTACTGTGCCAAACTATTGACTATGTTATTCCTTTTAGGCACATGGGATGGCCAAGGGTTACCATTAGCATATTAATCACTGTCCTATTAGACAGGTGGCAATCCCTTCAGATGACGAACATAATATACACATGACATGCTTTACACAAACTACATCTCATAACGATGCTTATGGAGTGGAGTTGTTTTATTGTGAGAAAAAATCCTGGAATCTGACGTGATTTGAACCCAAGACCATGGGATTGGAAGGCGAGCATATAACCACCAATCTATTCAACCACAATCTTAAGAAAACTGCCCTTTTCTGGGGCCCACAAAAGGAGTAAAAACATAATCGGTATTTTCAGGGTCCTTATCACCTACCGTTATGTAAGAATCAGCAGGAAAACGACTACACTTTTTTTTTTTATAAGAACACATTTTATAAAAAACAATGAGACTGATTGCTTAGAAATTACAAACAAATTGAGGCTGAGGAAAATGTTTAATGAGGTTTAAAACAAAATAGAAAACCGATTAATCTTATCTGTACCTTATTTGCAGTAGGTGCGACTATGTAATACCCTCTATGATACAGTATACAGTACCGTAATACGCAGTATACCGACTGTACAATTATGATTTTCTAGTCTGAAAAGAGTAAAATTAGAACAAAATAAGAACATTTTGAGCCTGAAATCGGCCAAAAAAAATAAAAATAAAAATTTAAATAAGTTTAAAATAAGAACACTGAGCCTGGGCAAATTTTACTGGTTCTTATCAAAAAATAAAGTGTACGTGAAAAATTGGCCAATTTTTGCAAAAACGTAAGGAGGTGAGGGATCGCCATCCACATAACATTTTCAAAAGAGTACAAAACATACTATAGCTTGAGTGGGGTGGGGTTGTTGTATTCTGTGGCACCTACGGATCATACGAATGTGTTCTTGTGCCTACTGAACCTACGATTGGAAGAATCAGCAAACAAAAACAAGAAAAAAAAAAACAAAAAAAAAACAAAACAAAAAAAGCGAGGCGGAAAATAGCCCAGTTTTGGAGGGGAAAAAACCTCCGCACTGTTTTTGTCGAAATTGGACAAATTTGACTCTACCATTTTGTGTTCTGTGGCACCCACGGATCACAAAACACTATCCATGATTGTAAATGCCACTTAAAGCTTACTTTAAAACGCTATGTTGTTTATGTTAACGTTTTAACCTACGGTCGCACACCTCAGTTCCCAAAATACAATTACAGTATTGGAGTTGATTATAGGAAGTAGCACTTCAGAAATAATTGAATCCATAAAAACCTTAACAGGATAATCATACATTAATTGTTAAGACGAATTAAAGGAAATAATGAATAAGTGTTTTGTGTCACTGAAGGTTTGTGGTTCAACTGGGATGGGTAGTCAGATTTTAATCATGTGTGGCTGACCTAATTTACTGTATTAATGCAACATTTCCCCTAAAACCAAGAGTGCGGTACACTTAAAAATGTAAATTAAATACTGTCAGTAACCAATATATAGGACAACAAACAACATTATTTTTTAGCGAGTTTATACAATAATATAGTCCTGCATAAGTTTTTTTGTTTTTTTTAAATGTTGAAATACACCATGGAAAAAGCGTGCATTTTACTTAATAAAATATAACCAACAATGTTTGGGCCTACCAAACTTCTAAATATAGAACACTTTGTCATGTAGCTTCAGCTACATAGATTTATACTTCCTTAAATCATAAGGAAGTTCACTCTTAAAATGTTTAGCATAGATAGTACAGAGATTATAAATCTCCTATATCCGAATTCCAATAAATATCAGTCTATTATGACCACAACATAAGGAAGTCCACTCTTTTAATGTTTAGCAGAGAGTTAGAATTTTGATGTTTTATCAATATTATATAACACGTCATATTATATATCCAAATTACAAGAAATTACATTTTATGCACGCACCGACGTGGAAAATTTAACCTAATAATTTTAATATGTACATGATTTATGTTTGTTTGTTGACTGATCTTGGATATTACAGTCTAAAATTTATATTATGACCACAATTGGTAAGTCATAGTCGTATATACTCTTATAAGGATGAAGAATAATGCAATTTTTCCAATAATTGTATTCTGACCAAAACTGAATTTGGTATGTGCTTCCATTAGCTAGGAAATTAATTTAAATATGCATAATTATCTTCTGTGATTGGTTGATTGCCAACTTTTCAATGCTGGTGGATATAATGCTCTCTTCCAATTTGTCCTGCTTTGTTGGATGTATATATTGCGTAGCTCTCATAACAATTTCATATTTCTAAACATTGTTTGGGGCCCTAATCAATTCACATAAGAGATTACATAAACAGAATGTTCCTAAGCCAAATACCTCATAAAAATTTTGGAATCATGGCAGGATAGATCACTGTTTAAAACGTAAACAATTTTAGATTTTGTGTTTTTAAATCACAGAAAATCAATAATTTTATATTCAATACATTATAGACCAGTAGTTAAAACCTGGGGTCCGCGGAGGCCAGTTTATACTTGCAACGATAACGATAAAAAGCTAAAAAGCAATTGTTCATATAAAAAATAAAAGAAATAAGATAGGTTTTACGCTAGGACGATTCGATAACGATTTATCGTGTATACGATAACAGAATATTTCAAATGACGTCATTTCATAAAAAAACGATAAAATCGTTGTTACTACTATGATTTTAACGTTTTAACATAAATTATTTCCCCCTCCGCCGTAAAAGTAATACCGGTAATTGGGAAGCGAAAAATAAGAAGTATAAACAAATAATTGTTTTGTTATTTTGTTTATGTATATATATATATATATCTGATATATATATATATATATATATATATATATATATATATATATATATACAGGCAATTAGGCCTAATACAACCTAGACAATAAGTACAGTATTAACTTCCATTAATGATCCTTATTCTGTCCCCGAAACCTAGACTTGGAAATAACTAGAATCCAATTCAATCCAATCCAATCAGGTCATTTATAAAGCGCCTTTCTTTGCAGACACGAAGCGCAGAATGCAGTCCGAAGAGAGATAGTTGTTGTCCCCTTAAATCACTTTTCCTCATTTCGTGGCTGAAAAGTGTCCTTTAATACTCATAGGGGTGTCTTAAAGGAGGGGTTCTAATGAAGAATACCATTTCTAGACTTCCTTCAGGTGGCATATTATTTAAGGACCAATGCAATTTGAAAAATGGACTGGGGGAATTTTTGCGAATAATGGCATCAGCTCTCCCCAGAGGAGCCCCCCATCCCCACGACTGGCGTCACCCCTGTGGTTCGATACAAAAAATGTTATGAATCTTCAAAAGTTCAAACGCTATTTCAAGCCTGGTTTCCTATTCGCTACACTGTCGCTACAGCGTTGCCAGTGCGTAGCAGTAGTCAACGACGTAGTCGGGAAACTCCTGGATTCGACCGACCAATCAATCAGCATCACCGAAAGCTTTCGGCGATAGCGTGTAGCGACTGTATGGAAACCAAGTATTGTATTATGAAATATTTTTGTTGAGGGCAGCAAACGGAAAATATTGCATCTCAAAAAATACACCAATTAATTAAGAATGGCAAATAATAATGAGAAGATATAAAGCATAATATTGATTACTGTGGACAAAAAAACAGAATTATCATAAATTACTTGATTACGACTGATTAATGCTTAGAATAAATTTAAATTACTGTACTCTATCAACACATTATATATATAAATATATATATATATATATATATATATATATATAAAT